GCTCTTTCTGTCCCTTATATTTTGTTCAGTCAACTAGGATTTGGGCAGTGCCAATCCCATCAGTGGACTAACCTAGCAATCACCTACCCTTAATCCCAGAACCTTTAATCCTAGCAATGCATCATGAATCAACCACACACTCTAGGTTCAGTCACCTCTAAAAAGGCCCCATCCAAAACTACATGAGGCTTTGAGGAGACATCTAGACACAAACTATAAGAGCTTCCCTCCCCTTTCACCCCTCTCCCCTTTTCTGTCTCCCTTCTCCCTCCCCTCTCTTCTTCTCTCCTCTCCTAAGCTTCCCCCTTCCCTTTCTCTTCTTCGTCTTGTATTGTAATGGGATTTCAATATGGACCTGAGATAAATCTTTTGTTCTATATCAGTCAAGTTTCTTTAGAAAAATTGAACCAATAGGAAATTATATATGAACAGCATGGCTTCATTATATATGAGTTATGTTCTAAAACTACAATGAATGGTTAAGTGAAAGTGAAAAAATTATCACCATTAAAGACACACCATCATTAACCCCCTGAAAATATTTTGCCTTGATTCAAGCATTTGTCCCATTGTTCTTTTCACTTTCGGAAGCAGTTCTGGAAGTCCTACTTAAACAATGTCTTTAGTTATACTGTCATAGTTGCCTCAGTGTCCTAAATTCATTGAACATGTTCACCTTTCAAGATTGTTTTGATTTTGGGGAGGAGGTGGAAGTTGCATAGTGTTGGATATGGTAAATATGGTTGAAGAAAATATACTTCAATGCTTTATGAGCTTGCTTATCTGCTGGTAGCATTTGACAGGAACATTGATCACATTAAAACTTTTTTTGGGACATGATCACACTATGCAGTTCAAGCTGGTGTTGAGCCCACTGTGTAGCCCAAACTGGCAAGGGTCCAATGCCATTTTCCTTTGGAGTGCTGAGATTACAAGTGTGTACCACCAGACCCAGCTTTCACCATATTTTTAAAACAATAATTTATAAAGGCACTTAAGAAAGAGGTATTTCAGGACTGCTTTAGAAAGTGCCATGAGTGTTAGTATAAATTTTCAAAGCAAGAAAGAGTATTTTGAAGGGGATACTACATAAGGTATCTTATAAGTCCATGGATGATAGTTTTAAGAGAATTATTACAACCAGGGAAGACAAATTCATATCCAGAATGAATGTCTATCCTAGTAAAAATAAAATGTCTACCCTTTGATGATGGAAGCAGTCCAATGAAATCAACCTTCCATCAGGTAGCTGTCTGATTACTCTGGGGAATGGTGCCATATTTAGGACTTATTTGTAATCTTTAATATTGGTGTTTTGGGCATTCAGCCATGGTTATAACTAGATAAACCTCTTAATTAAAATCCCCATTTCTGAGCCCGTCTCTACCACCATGACAGATTTGTTCATGAGTCCATTGTGTATCGCTATTGCTTCATCATTACATGGACTCTCAGTGTTCTCTTTAATACTAGAAATAATCATTATCAGCTTTCTGTAATCAAATTAGAAAACCAATTTGCAAATCCTGAAATTTACAGTTGTGATTATATTCCTACTGTACAATTCTTGGTACTAAAATTAGAGATTTTCACAGAAACAAAACCAACAGAATACACACACACACACACACACACACACAATCACACAGACACACAGATACAGATACACAGCTCTCAGGAGCTGGCAAAGCTGAAATTTTCAGGGCAGGCTGGCAGGCTAGAAACAGAGGTAAGATGCTGCAGGCTTTACTCCAAAATCCACAGGATAGGCCAACAGGATAGAAAGTCAGGGAAAATTTCTATGCTATAGTTTTACATCAGAATTACTTCATTTTGTGAAATTTGTTTTTGTTTATAAGGCCTTTAACTGTTTGGATGAGGCTCACTCAAACTGTGCTGAGTAATCTGCTTTGCTTAAAGTCAATTGATTGAAAGATATTTATCACAGATGTAAGTAGCATAATAGCAACATCTAATACAGATTTTGATAAAATAGTTGGACACTGTATCATTGTTGATACATAAAATTAACCACATATGTTCAGTACACAGTATGTGACTAAAATCAAATCTGATTCAAAAATTCATTTTTTTCTCTTTTTTTGTGGTACCTGGGATTGAACTCAGGACTCTGTGCTTGCCAGGCAAGTGCTTATTCTACTGAGCTACCTCCCTGGCCCTGTATTTTTCTTTGTAAAATACACTATTTATTTTAAGATGTTCTATAAAATATAGATAAGTATAAATTTATGATGCTTAATTTTACACACCTGCTCTTTAGAAATGTGTGGTTAAAAGGTCATGGAGTTAGCCAGATGTGGTGCTGTATGGCTATAATTCCAGTAGTCCAGCCTGCGCTACATGATGAGCTCAAGGCCAGCCTCAACTACACATCAAGACCCTGTCTCAAACAAACAAAGAAACAAAGAAACAGACTCATAGAGGACCTCAACTAGTGATTGGGAGAGTTGTAGAAAATATCATAATTTTCCATTTGTTGGTGTCTATATTGTTTCCATTTTTTGTTATTATGAATAATACTGTAATGAACATGGGAGTGCAAATACCTCTTTAAGATCTTGATTTTGATAGTTTTCGAGATATATCTATAAGTATAATTGCTGGGTTATAGACTAGTTCTAATTTTACTTTTTTCATACTGTACTTTATAAAGGTTCCAATTTCTCCATATCCATTCAAATATTTTTATCTTTTGCCTTTTGATAACACCCATTACTAGTGGAGTGAGATTTTTTTCATTGTGGTTTTGAGTTGCCTTTAATTACTGAATATATTTCGTACATCTGTCAGCATTTTTATGTCTTCTTTGGAAAAATGTCTATTCAGGTCCTTTCTCATAAATTGAATTATTTCTTTTTCTGCTTTTGGTTCTGTATTGTTTGAGTTTCTTATATATTCTGGATTTTTCTCTCTTATAGGAAGATTGAACTTTAAATGTGTCAGTCCTCAAAGTTCAGATTTATTGCAAGTACTGCATTTGACATCAGTTCTTTTCTTCTGTGTGTTGTTCCACTTGGAACTTGACCCATTAGTGTGCCCATACTCTTTATAGTTGTGTGAAGAAAGGTGGACATTGTTAAAGTGTTTGGTACTTGAACAAACATTGCAGGACACTTTTATAGTCTCATGTATAGTTTTATACTGCTTACACATGTTTAAAAAATAAAACCTTTGTACAATAATAGAGAGGGGGATAGGGAGAGATTTTAATTCTACTGTGGGGAGATATGTTGTTTTCTCTAGGAGAGTAGTCTTAAAGATTTTTGTTTGTTTAGATATATATGTAAGAATCCGATGGCAGCTATAATTTCTTCTCCTAATAAGTGAACATATGGGCTGGGGATCAATCAACCAATCAGGTGAGCACAGCTATGAATACAACATTATACAACACTCACTCTAGGCTTCATGTGGCCTTTGAGGATTGTTCCTTGGGCCTGCATACCTTTAGTTGAGGAGACACCAAGATGGGTGATGACTGGCAGGAAGTGAGTCTGCAATAGGTTTATAATCCTCATGGGGACCCTGGAAGTGAATAGGCTAGAAATCAGAGGCCCAACAGGTTGCATTGCTCAGGTCATGTGGCATTAGTGGCCATGAATAAGAGCAGAGAAGTAGGTGGGAACACCATTCCCTTCTAGGCATCTTTCAGATAACTCATGAGAATTTAGGAGAGGGAGTGAAAGAGAAATATTTACTCAACTTGGTCATCTGAGTAAAGGCAGCACTTGCCATGTTGGTCACCAATCCTCATATATTTTTGGATTAAATAACAGATAGGTGCCAGAATACAGGGAATCAGAGGCTCTGGCATGTAGGAGGAGTTGGACGGTAGCACATTCCTTATTTCTTACAAGGCGAGGTAAAATCCAACAGTATCTGTATTTCACGCCTTCAGCTGCCTCCACTTTATTACAGTGGAATCTAATCCAAGGGCAGGTGTTCAGAGCAGCCGTCAAATCAGGAGGGGTTCACACAAAAATCAGCCAAGTCTTTGGGTAGTTACGCACATGCTCTTCTTTAACCAAACAAGACATGATTGTTTTGCTTTTATTTTCTCAAATCAAAAGTTGAGCCAATAGTAGAAAAATTACATGAATCATCTGTGTTAGCATGGCCCACGTTAGACAACCGGGCATCCTTTCTTGGACTAATTCATAGGTTATGTAAAAAATTCCAGTTTTCTATTTTAAGATAAGTTAGTATGTTTTCAAAGCTACTTGGCTGTAACCAGTAGAAATATTTTTCTTGTGTTACAAATAAATATAATGAAATTAGTGAAGTTTTTTGAGTTTTCCCCTCCTACTTAAATTTTTGTTCACTCAAATGAAAAGAGAATCACTTTGTTTTTTCAATGTAAAAGTAAAATGTTACTGATTTTAAAAAATTAACAAGACACTGCTAGCAATCTTAGTAATGTAATGACAGTAGTTTCAAAGGCTGAGGCAGGAGGATCACAAGTTCAAGCCCAGAGCAATTTAACAAGACCCTCTCTCAAAAAAATAAAATTAAATTAAATAAACGAAGGATGTAGTTCAGTGAGTTGAATCCTCAATATCCAATCCCAGAAAAAAAAGCCCTAAATGACAAACAAACACAAATAAACCAAGAGGGAAGTTCAAGGAAGTAAGACATTTTCCACTGTCTATCTCCCTTTCTGTGATATTGACCCCCATTTTGTATGAGTGCAGGGGGAGGGGTGTGCTCAACGTTCTTAACTAAAGAGGGTGACACATGGAGGGAAAAGCAGTTGGACAAGGAGAAAAATAGCCCATGGACATGGCAACAAGGTACAGTCTCTCTGAGTTAAGCAAAGAAAGGCAAATTCCAATGACAGGGGGAAGGCACTTCTGACCTCTGTGATTGGCGAAAAGGAGAAGGAATGAATGCAGCTGGTGACGTGACAGGGAAAGAAGGGGCAGGGCAGCTTCAGCTCACAGTTGGTGGGAGTGGTAACTGGGGTCTGATCTCAGGGGTGACGTAGCCCTCACGTGAATGCGAGCTGACGTATGCAGGCGTCCTCTTAATCCCGATCTTCCTTTGGTCAAGTTACCGGCTCCCTATTTTTACCCAGAGATCTCGTGAGCTTGTGCTGGAAGGTAGGAAAAGGAGGAAGTGAATGCTTGGATCCTAGGAGGTCCGTTTGTGGATGGGCACTGCTTGGGGAACCCTGCCCTGCTGGCAGTGGAGGGCGGAGAGCAAGGGAACACAGCGTTTTCAATTTATTTTTCTTGCACTATCCCTGGCCCTTATAGAACAAAAACAGTGGTAGACGTTGGAAGGTGGGCGTCCAGGGGAGGCTCCAGACCAGGAGGGGTAAAACTTTGTTATGCCAGAGATTTGAATCAGGGAGTACAGGTGATGGGTTGGTGTTCCGTGCACTGGTTAGTCTGCCAAGCCAGAAACTTGGGATGTGCGACTGTCGTTCCCCTTGTTTTTCAGTAGAGCACTGTACCATTCCAGCAAAGCGCGCTGTACCATTCCAGCAAAGCTGAATCTACGACGAATCTCGGCAGGTCAGTGCAAAGCTGTGATTGCATAGCAGGCCCCAGAAGGGTGGGGATGACTGAGGACCCTGTCTAACTTGGGAATGATCAGCAGTCTCTCTCTCTCTCTGTCTCTCTGTCTCTGTCTCTCTCTGTCTCTCTCTCTCTCTCTCTCTCTCTCTCTCTCTCTCTCTCTCTCTCTCTCTCTCTCTCTCTCTCTCTCTCGGGTATGACAGTGCCAACAGGAAAAATGGTTATCGATGAGGGTGGGTTTCATTACAGAGTCGACAGAGTGGGACAGAAAAGATCATCTGATCTTTTAATTTTTTTAACTCCTAAGATTTTTCTGTACTCCTTGCCCCCACCTTCCTCCCTCTTGTCGAGTGGTTTCAAAGGGGCCTAGTTTTTGCTGGGAAAATGGTCAGCCTGTGGAGATAGAGATGGGGATAGGGATGGGGATGGAGATGGGGGAACACGCACTTAGCTGAAGGGTTTTTATCAGTGGAGTGCAGAGAAGTGGGACTAGGGTAAGAGCTAAAAGACAAAATGTATCTGATGGCATGAACTCCGAATTTGGAAAAGCTGGTTGAGGACTCTCTCAAGTGCTGTTATGTTCCCTAAGGCTCCTGTCTTGGCTGTGTCCCTTTCTCTGTGGATCTTGGCCCTGAAGACCTGCACAAACTTCAGAACCAGAAAGCAAGAAAAGTTGTCCACAACCAAGTAGGTCAGGGTGAGGATGATAGTTTGGGAACTCCTAGGGTGGAGGATGATGGTTATTGGGATTGGGATTATAGACCTCCTCTGAAACCTCCTTTTTCCCTCCTTTTCTACATCTGGAGGTTGCCAAAGAAGTGCTGTGCAGATACTAGAGAGGGAAGGAAGTGGCTGGTATCAAGAGAGTCCTGGGATGGAGGTGGGGAGGATGTTACTGAAAATTACTGTTTGGGGTACACTGTCTTTGGTGTTCGTCCTCCCACTAAACATTCATTTCTAGAGATGGTCAGTCCTTAGGTTTGATGGAAACAGAAACTGATATAGAGGAGGAGGAAAATGCTCTCCAGCAGTGGAAACTGGTATAATTAGGGGGTCAGTGGGGAAAACTGACCTGGTACCTTTGATCTAGAGGGTGAAGGTGGAATTGACAAGGGTGGTGTGATCTGGCATCTAGATACTACTACTCTTTTGTCTGTTTTCTTTCAAAGAAGGGCATATGGTGGTCACCTCTAGAGGAAGTGACTAATGGGGGTGGGGTTGTGCGATGGAAAGTTGAAGGAGTGGATCATTGAAGGAGGAGGAGAGAGGAAATTAATTTCAAAGCAAAACTTTCTGAGGACAGGAGGGATCAATAGGTGGGGAACTTCAAGAAAGGAACTAGAACCAAGGATTTAGGATGTCTGTTCTATCTTTGATTAGGTCTGTTTATCTCCTGACCTCTCATCAAACCTCTCTCTGTTCCCTGTTTGCAGGTCTGCAGAATAAATTGCAGCTGGAGGCTGCAAAGAGAAGGAAGAAACTTCTTGGATCTCTTCAGGTGTATTTGAGTTCTTCATTGCCCTAGGACATCTTCAAAGACAGAGGTGGCAGAGAATTTTTCAAGTATTTTAAATTTGATGTTCTGGGAAGGGTGGTAGAATGTGAGGTTGGCATGTGGGGAAAATTTGCAAAATCATCTTCCCAGCTAAGTAAAGAAATCAGTGATCTTGATACCAAGCTCTGAGTCTGGGCCAGCAACCTCATGTTTGTACATCTGTGGTTTAGTTCTGTGTGCATGCAAAAACACAAAGAGAAGCCCAAAGCCTGAAATGTTTTCTTTATTTCTAGATTGCCATGTGTCTGTGACTGCAGCAGTCTGCCAGCAGCTGAAGACTTCACTCCTTACGCAGGAGCATTCTGGGCAGGAGCAAGAGATTCCCTCCAGCTATATCATGGGCCGCACTAGGGAGGCTGGCTGTGTAGCCGCTGGAATGGTCATTGGGGCTGGAGCCTGCTACTGTGTATACAGACTGACCTGGGGAAAAGATGAGAATGAGAAAATTTGGGATGATGAGGAACTGTCTAGTGATACATCAGAAATTGAGGTTGAGCCTGAGAAAGGAGCCAAGACTAATGTTGAGGTGGGGGCCCAAGCCAAACCTCAGAGTGACATTAAGGCCAATGCTGAGGTGAGATTGGGACTCGAGAGTGGTCCAGGTGTAAGGAAGGAGGCCCATTGTGAATCTCAGAGTGGAGGTGGCCTTGAAGCTAAGGCCAAGGCCCTTTTCAACATCTTGAAGGAACAGGCAAGTGCGAAAATGGGCAAAGGGCCCAGGGTTGGTAACATTTCTGGGAATAGGACCCTTGCATCAAGTTTGCCTTGCCCAGGAGGTAGAGGTGGAGGCTGCCACCCCACAAAGAGGGCTGGGAGCATGACAAATGGAAAATCCAAGGGAAAAGCTCGAAGTAAGAGCACTAGGGCTCCACCTACGGCGTGGACTGTCCGCAGGGGCAAATTCAACTTTCCCTATAAAATTGATGACATTCTAAGTACTCCTGATCTTCAAAAGGTCCTTAACATCCTGGAGAGAACAAATGATCCTTTTATTCAAGAAGTAGCTTTGGTCACTCTGGGTAACAATGCAGCATATTCATTTAACCAAAATGCCATACGTGAGTTGGGTGGTGTCCCAGTTATTGCAAAACTGATAAAAACCAAAGACCCCATTATTAGAGAAAAGACGTATAATGCCCTTAATAACTTGAGTGTGAATGCTGAAAATCAGGGCAAGATTAAGACATATATCAGTCAAGTGTGTGATGATACCATGATCTGTCGCTTGGACTCAGCTGTGCAGATGGCTGGGCTAAGACTGTTAACCAACATGACTGTGACCAATCATTATCAACATTTGCTTTCCTATTCTTTTCCAGATTTTTTTGCTTTATTATTCCTGGGAAATCACTTCACCAAGATACAGATTATGAAACTAATTATAAACTTTACTGAAAACCCAGCCATGACAAGAAAGTTGGTCAGTTGTAAAGTACCATCAGAGTTGATTTCCCTCTTTAATAAAGAATGGGATAGAGAGATTCTTCTTAATATCCTTACCCTTTTTGAGAATATAAATGACAATATAAAAACTGAAGGGCTTGCATCATCCAGGAAAGAATTCAGCAGAAGTTCACTTTTTTTCCTATTTAAAGAATCTGGAGTATGTGTTAAGAAAATCAGAGCATTAGCAAGTCATCATGATCTGGTGGTGAAAGTAAAAGTCCTGAAAGTACTAACCAAGCTCTAATTTCTGTCCCTAACAACACTGATGTAGATTTGTAGTTCCCACCTGGGAACAATGTGTTTTTAAAATTTTTTGTTTGCACTGTGCTTATGTGGCAAAGAAATTCTTCCAGCTGCTATTTTGCAATATTAACATTATAGTTTATTAGTAGTTATTGATGTTGGGTTCAGACTGGGCCATTTTAAGGATACCAGGTGAATACTAGAGCTTGTACAAAAATTTATTGATTTTATCTTGCTCCCTAGGTTGAGATTTTTTTTTATTTTACATACAATGACAGTGAAGTAATTTACAGTATGAAAAAGATACACTCTTTTGTACTTTATATTTGTTAGTCTAAGACTCCTGTTTTATCAATAAAGTTCTGTATTTTGAGCAGAAGAAAAAAGACATTGTGTCTGTTTAGAAAGACAAGATATGTGGAAACAAAAAGTACGAAATCATGGGCCTCCGATGATAATCACCGAAGGTTCCCAGAGGTGCTTCAAGGCAAAAAAACTGTTGCCCACAACGGTGTTGAGGGAAAGTTTTGCAGAGGAGGGGGACATGAAAGAAGCTGGGCTTAAAGGATAAGATGCAAAGGTGAGGGACAGTGGTGGAGGAAAGACATGGAGGTGGGAATTGTGCTCCAGAGAGAAGTCTGGTCTGCCTGGAGCTGAGAGTGTGGACAGGAGAGGGGTGATGAGGGTAGAGTCAGTGTTGGAGGGCATCCTATTCTTCTCTTGGTGCACTTGCGGTTGCTGAACGGGGGTCTGAAATTGAGTCCTCTCTGCCCCTGGGAGACAACAAGGCCTTTCATGAGCAGGGGAGTGACAGGATGAAAGGAAACAATATGGCTGCTTTGTGTGTAGGGTGGGTCTGGGTGGGATGAAAACACCATTGGGAATGAGATTGGAAATGCAGTTAGCAAGTTAAGTACCATAGACCCGGCAGGAGATGAGAAAGGTGCGGAATTTCGCTGGTGGCTGGGAATGGTAGGGACAGCAAGGAAGCAAGAGCTCTGTTCCACTACAGATTACTATGAAGGCATAAAGAAAGGGTTCCTTTTGTTTTAGGGCCCTGCGGGCACATAATGGGCACGTGTTGTCTTTCATAGCGCTAGAGTCTGTGTAGTGAATAAGGGTTATGTTTTGAAATACCAAGAAGCTATAGTGGAAGACAGCATGAATTTTAGTGCTTGCATCAGATTCCTTGTATAAGGTTGGTAGGAGGGAGCCTTCATGGAACCGCAGAATGTAGTTGGGATGCACAGAGGAGGACAGCCACTTGTGTCCCACCCCATAGGCTCGGTGAGGGATGGAGGAGGAGCACTCTCAAACCGTGAGGTGAGGAGCACACCAGGTAGGAGGTCTACTGAGGCAGATGCTCCAGAGCCCTTAACATGGGCATGCCCCTTGACCCAGTGATTTCATTTGTGGAGATTTACATTGAAAACTAAGCAAATAATTGGCTTGTACAAAGCTTCAATTATTATGAAAGGGAAAAAGTATAAATGACACAAGTGTCTAGAATGGGTGATTGGCTAAACAAAGTATATTTATTGAAAATATTGATGGACATCTACAGTAATTCATCTGCAAGAATATCAGCACATGATCTTAAGTGTAAAACATAGGCTATAAAAGGGCAAAATATTTTGCATAAAAAGTATGCATTTAAATGGCCTATGTAGGGCTGGAGAGATGGCTCAGTGGTCTAAACCACCTACTTAGAACAAGCTTAGCAAAGCACAGTGGACCGCGGTTCAATCCCCCAGCACCACATGCCAGCCAGCCCCGCCCCCTGGTGGGCTGAGCTGGCCACAAACACACAAAATAAATAAATGTAAAAATAAATAAAAAAAAAATAAATGGCCTATGTATAAGCTAGTACATAGTCTGAGACTCTTAATAATTCTTTATAGATGTATTCTGATCAGCAATTTTAAGTCTTTTCTGAAAAATGGTATAATTTATGATGTTTACATAAAAATAAAGTTTTCCTATGTACTTTGCACAAAAGCCTTTGAACAGTATATAAGGGGCTTAGAACAAAAGATAGATGCTTACTCACATATTTATGTGTACATATTTGAAAGGTATGACTTCAGTTGCCTAAACAATGGAGGTATGTCTGCAACCATTCAAAATGTTCATGGCCATCTATACTTTTTTTCTTGGTTCTGGAAATCAAATGTAGGACCTGGCACGTGCTAGGCAAGTACTCTACCTCTGAATTATATCCCAATCTCTCTCTCTCTCTCTCTCTCTCTCTCTCTCTCTCTCTCTCTTTCTTTTGTGCTTGTAGTTGAACTCAGGACCTTGCACTTGCCGGGGATGAGCTATGCCACAGAGCTATATTCCTGGCTTCCATTTTTTTTTTTCAGTTTGAGACAAGATAAGATTAAGTGGCTGAAGTTAGCCTCAAACAAGACATACTTCTGCCTTTGTCTCCTTAAGATCTGTGTTTGTAAGCATTTAGCAACGCATCTGATGACATACACCATTTTTTACATACAAAATTTCAACATCCAGTCTTAAGTGGAAAGTTTACATGACTGTTTAGTGTACGAATTTTTGAAAAGTACGAAGATTGATATTCATTAGAACTCCTAAAGGTTATATACTTGAATGATCAAATACCTAAATGTGTCTGGGGATGTTTTTGTTTCCACTGTTCTGTTGTACTGAGGCACATGTCTGATTTTGTGTCAATACTATGCCATTTTTATTACTCTTGCTTTGCAGTATAACTTGAAATCTTATATTGTGATGCCTTTTGCTTTTCTTTTGTTGCTCTGGATTGTTTTTGCTATTCTGGGTCTCTTCTGGTTTTATATGAATTTTAGGATTGTTTTCTCTAGTTCTGCAAGGAATGTTGTTGGTTTTATTGGTTAGAGATTGTGTTAAATCTTGTATATCAGTGTTGGGAGGATGGCGTTTGGAAAATACTGTTTCTGCCTATTTAGAAAAAGGAGGCATCTTTCCATTTTTACATATCCACTTTTATCTCCTTTCTCAGAATTATGTAGCTCTTTTTGTGGAGGTCTTTTACTTCCTTAGTTAGGTGAATTGCTAATTATTTAATTTTCCTGATACTACTGGGAATAGTATTGTTTTTCTAATTTATTTCTCATTGAGTTCATAATTGGTATACAGGAATGCTTTTGATTTTTGTGTGTTGACTTTATGTGCTGGTACATTGCTGACTTTAGTTATTTTAAAGAGTTTTTTTTGGTTGAATTATTTGAGTCTTCTATAATGTTTTCTACAAATAATAATTTGACTTTTTTCTTTCCTTTTTTTCCCTTTTTATTTCTTTCTGTTGCTTGATTGCTCTACATAGTGTTTTGAGCACCATGTTGAACAGAATTGGTGATAGTGGGAATTCCGGATTTTAGAGTCAAATCTTTCAGTTATTGCCCATTTAATATGTTGATCATTGATTTGTCACAAATGGCTTTTGTCAGATTTTATCATGAAGGGGTAATGGATTTTGTCAAAATCTTTTTCCACATCAATTAATATGATTATGTGGTTTTTGTCCTTGTTTCTGTTTATGCCGTTTATTACATTTATTGATATGCATATGTTAGAACATTCTTATGTGTCTGGGATGAAACCTACTTGGTTGTGACATATATGTTGAGCCTCGATGATATGCATTTCGTTTGCCAATATCTTATTGATGATTTTATGTCTATGTTCACTAGGGAGATTGGCCTGTGGTTTATATTTTAATTGGATCTTTCTGTGGTTTAGGGGTCAGAGTGATGTTTGCTTCTAGAAAGAAGTTTGGAAGTACTCCTTCCCTTTCAGTTTCATTGAAGAATTTGGCAAGTATTGGTAATGTAACATCTTTAAAGGTTCTGTGGAATTCAGCAGTGTGTCCATCAGGTCCTCAGCTTTTTTAGTTGAAAGCTTTTCATGACTGCATCAATTTCATTGCTTATTATTGGATTGCTAAAAAGTTGTATGTTTTCTTATTTCAGTTTTGATCACTCATATGCATCTAGAAATCTGTCCATTTCTTCAAGATTTTCCAGTTTGTTGGAATGTAGTTTTTCCTAATGGTTACTATGTTCTGGATTTCGACAGTGTATGTTATGATGTCATGTTTTTCATTTCCAACTGCATTGATGTGAATTGTCTTTGTTGTCTTTCTTTTGGTAAGGTTGGATAAAGGTTATCTGTTTTGTTTATTTTTTGTGATATCGGGGATTGAACTCAGGACCCTGCACTTGCCAGGCAAGTGCTTACTCTACTGAGCTATCTCCCCAGCCCTTGTTTATTCTTTACAAATAAAACTCAGGACCTTGCAATTGTTATGCAGGCACTTGTGCAACTGAGCTATACCCCTGGCCCTTGGTGCATATGTATTTCAAACTGCTCTCTGCTCTTGATGAATTATTCCCTTCACAAGGGCAGGTGCCAGGACATTGGGCAAGCTTGCCTGCAACTCAACAGGAAAGCAGGCTAGTCTGGCAGGTGCCCAGTAGACTGGGCATGCCCTCCTATGTAATTCCACGGGCAAGCAGAAAGCAGTCATTCTCCAGAGCACACTGTGTGTGCCAGCAAAAATTGTTGCCAGGCTGCAGGATCCTTTTTTTCAGGAAATCAAAAGAGGCAGGGGGACCTTATTTCTATGTCTATCTTATGCAGAGTGAGTTTGCCACACATTTGCAGTTTCTCTGTTTTGGGTTTTTTTTTTTTTTTTTAACTTCTTGGGAATGGCAATTTCTGCTCTGATCTTGCAGGCGGTAAACCAGTGAGCAGCCCTGTGTACTGGATTGCAGCTTTATAAAGTCTTATGCCTACATTTTGTTTGTTCTATACATCTCTTATTTCAGATTGATTTGGAAGGATTTTATTGTACAATTTTATTTTATTTTTTATTTTTTGGCAGAAGCGGGCATTGACCTCGGGCCCTTGTGCTTGCCAGGCAAGCGCTTATTCTACTGAGCCGTCTCCTCAGCCCCTTCAGATAGGTTTGGGCATCAGGATATATGTTCTTTCTTTTCTTCCCATTACCTTTGTTTTTACTTGATTTTCTCAGAGGAGCTCCAATGTGACCCCTCCTATATTCAGCAGGGTTGATTTCCCCAGCATTTCTTATTATCTGAGTGCCTGATGGTAACTTTTTTTTGAGTGATGCACATTCTGAATAAAAATTATAGAAAACATAAAATACATTTTCATGATTATAGAAGATTTTCTTTAGTTTTGGGAGAGCAACTTAAGAGTAAGTTACAATAATCCAAAGGACAATTGAGATAATTTAATATGCATTACAGTCTTCATTAAAACAGTCTTCATTAAAACCTTTCACCATTAGTTGAGGGATGTTATCCTTCAAGTTTTGTAACTGATAGTTTGGGTAATTACTCAGATCCCTTCAGTT